TTATATACATGGGTATGCATAGTTTCATGTTGCATAGGTCTGTGGATGATTGAGAGCATGTTGTCCATCTGTAGTTTTGCCTATATCACATATAAGGAAAAAAATTTAGTTTCTTCTGTTTATAACATTTATAACATTTTCAGTCTTTCCCACATAACAAGTATTACTCTAGTCTTTTGTTAATGTTAAATGCTTAAAATCCATCCCTCAGTTGTTGTTATGTCTCCATTAAAAACTCTCGTCCCTTTTCTCCTATAGTTTACTTGCCCCATCTCACTCCTCCCCGAGTCATAGCCATAGGATGGTCTTGAAGATCATTGTCTAGGGTTGCTATTTTCATTTTTGTTCCCACATCCTACTCTTTCAATCTTACTTTTACGTTCAGAGTCAAACAATGGCCTCTTTGCTCCACTTACACCAAATTGTAGTAATTTACTCTTTTACACAGGCATTTGTTCATTTAATTCAAGCAGCATTTACTGAAACGTCAGGCTCTGGAGGGATGCTTCAGGTTATCCCTAGTGAACAAGGCTCTGTCCTCTCATAAAGCCTAAATTTTCGCAGAAAAGTTTGACGAGTGAACATATCTAGTACAAAAGACCCAGAAAGTATTTCCTTTGTTTTTTTTTTTTTTTAAAGACGGAGTCTCGCCTCTGTCACCCAGGCTGGAGTGCAGTGCCGATCTCAGACTTACTGCAAGCTTCCGCGTCCCCCGGGTTTACACCATTCTCCTGCCCAGCCCTCCCGAGTAGCTGGGACTACAGCGCACCCGCCTCCCGGTAGCTGGGACTACAGGTGCCCGCCACCTCGGCCGGCTAGTTTTTTTTTTTGTATTTTTTAGTAGAGCGGGGTTTCACTGGGTTAGCCAGGATAGGTCTCGATCTCCTGACTCGTGATCCAGCCTGGTCTCGGCCTCCCAAGGTGCTGGGATTACAGGCTTGAGCCACCGCGCCCGGCCCAGAAAGTATTTCAATACAAGTATTATGTTAAAAATCAAACCGGGAAATATGGTAGAGAGATAATGTGAGGCTACCTTAGATTGGTTAATTATAGATAGTCTTTTGAGGAGGCAGCATTGAGTCTTGGGAGCTAAATGATAAGGAATCAGTAATGCAAAGGTCTTGGAAGAGAAGATTGTTATAGGTAAAAGCAACAGCTAATGTAAAAAAAAAGGATTTTTGTCTTGGGTATTCAAGTAACAGAAAAGGAAGCAGATCTGGAGCTCGGTACAGAGGTAGATCTTGCAGGGCAAAGTATAGATCTTTCCATCTTATTCTAAGTGCTATGAAAAATCATTAGAAAAGTTTTAAGCATGAGCACCCTATGTTTTAGGGGTAACAGAATGAGGGATGGGGGCCAAGTGCAGAGGAAGCAAAGAGACTAGTTGGGAAGTTGGTCCAGGAGGTGATTCTGGCCAGAGATGGTAACAGTGAGATGAAGAGAGATGGCCTGATTTTGAATGTTTTGGAGATAGAATTGATTTGCTGATGAATTGGGATGTGAGAGTGTGGGAATGAGAGAATTTAAGGATGATGCCTAGTTTTTAGTTTGAGAAACAGGGTGAATAGTGAGTGATTCCTTTGAGAAGATTGCAAGACTAAGGCAGGTCTAAGTTTGAGAGACAAATCAGGAGTTCTGGTTGGCCATTTTATTTTGAGATTGCTACTAGACATTCAGGTGAAGATATCAAATTAAGTAGTTGGATATATGTACGGGTTAGAGGGAGGTTAGGGCTGAAGCTGTAAATGTGTTAGTCATCAGCGAAGAGATGCATGATCATGGTACTGGCTGAGAGAGGGGTAGAGAGAGAGTCGTAGAAGTCCAAGAACAGGCCTTCTCTAGAAAGACTCTCCCAGCACATCTCACTTCCATTTTCTTTCTTACCTCTCACTCCCACTTGTCATTCTCCTTTACTGACTTCTGCCCTTCTCCTCTTGCCACTGTTTATAGTATTATATAGCTGTCATAGGGACAGAATATAGAGTACTGTATACTCAAACTCATATCTAGTCCTCTTCTAAAATGTTTTCTCAAATTGATTTCTCTCCATCCTTAAGCACTTCAGCTCACTTCCACATTAGGTCCTTCATCCTTACTCTTGCTTCTTCCTACAGAATTCCTAGCTTGCACTTCTCTGCTTGCGGCTCACATTTAGGTCCCACCTTAAATGTTGTTCCTTCAGGGGTGACTTTTTGAATACTCCAGACCAGTCAGGTTAATAGCGCTTACCACATTTGTAAATAATGAATTATTTGTGTAATTGAGTATCTTCCCCAAGTCTTAACTCACATGCCATTTTGTACCCCTACCTCCTTTTGGTGGGCATCCAAGATCAATGTAAGTTCTATAAGGGTAGGGACAAAGTCTGGATTTATCTTACCTAACACTTTATTCCCAGAGCCTAGGAGAGGGTCTGAATATGTGTTCAATAAATATTGAACATAGACCAAAGGTAAACATAGAACTATAGACCAAAGGTAAAATGAATATAGAAATGGGGAGGATAGAGAAGAGACAAAATTAGACACTGTGAATGTCTTAAAGTAAGCATTGTACTATTAAAAGTAGTAATTTCACCTACAGCAGCTGTTACCCTTGCCCTGCATTGTGTTTGAGTCCTTGAATTTCAGTTTTTATCAGAGAAGAAACAAGAAAAATTAGGGAAGACAATTCAAGACCTTTTCCATTCTTAAAGCTTTAAGGAAAATAATTGGTGACTCTGAATTGTATGGACCAAGTGGCTTTTCCTTTTCCCAGGTGGTTCTCATGTGTTGGGAAAATCGTTTATATGATGCTATGATCTATGTCTACAACAGAGGCATGAATGAGTTTATTAGTCCCATGGAGGTAAGATACTTCCTGACTTGGATACATAATTAATTTTGTCTACTAACTTTTTTTCTCCTATTCTCCATTTGCTTTTAACAGTTTCTAGTTTTATCCAATTATTTAAAAATTCTTATAGATTTATTGACCTTGAACCCATTTTAGCTTGGGACTTTTAGATAGTCTTCAATTTTATACCTTCTGCCATTGCTTGCTTTCTTATCTACATAAGTAGGTATTTAAATACCAGAGAACAATAGATAAAATTTAAATTAATGCTTGCTTGTTAGGCTTTACGTGTTTTTCTCATAAGAATTTTTGATACTGTAGTAACTTTTCCTAAAGATATGAAAAATTTATTTTGTATAACTATTTTATATAATCAATGTACTATTGAGTAATGCTATTTGTAGATATATTCTCTTGGGGAAGGCTCCTGAAAATGGTAGGAGGCCATTATTAATTGATCATTTTTCGCTTTTACTAACTCAGAATTTCATAGCATTCATTCTAATTTTTTATTCTCCTTACCAAGAGAATCTAAAAAACATTTGGACTTACTTTTGAAAGAACCAAACCCCATATCTGTTTTCTTATTTGTCTTAAGTTTGATGGCAGAATAGGGGAGAATGAGTTGTAGATACATGTAGTGCCCTCCTAGCCCAATGCTTTATTATAGTGTCCCTCAAAAAAATCAGGCCTCTGCCGAAGGCATCCAGTCGACCATTTTGCTAATTTATTGCCATCCAAAACTATCTTCAGTATTAAGAAGTCAGCATTCTATGATAGTTCAGGCTTCTTTAAGCACGTTAAGTTTGGTAGGGTGAGTACCCCTCTAATTCATAACCCTTCAATTTTGGTTGCACTTCTCTTCTAGTTTCTAAAATTAGTCCCCCACCCCTCTACCCCTGGTTTTGGGGGTTTGGCCCTGATTGTCTGTAATGTCAAGTATTTTTTTTGTCTTGAACACCTGTCAGCTGCTGCTTCATTAGGGTCCAGTAGTTCCCTGAAAAAGACTCGTCAGCTGCCTCCTCAGTGAGGTCCAGTGCCTCCCTGCATGCCACAACTAAGCCACAATTCAGAAGAATTAATGTAGTTTCTAGTTTTGCTCAAATTAATCCCTCAAAACAGATTCTATTTTGATGCATTCTGCATTGACAAGATGATTGCTGTATTTTTGTTACGTTGCTTTTGAAATTTTTGTTTTGCATCGGTTTCGTATTCCTCATATTAATAAAATCTGGTTTGCATTTATACTGATACATCTCAAATGGAACACTGAGCTATTGAGGTTACCTTGTTTTGTGTTCGAAGTGTTTAAAGTTTAGCTATTTTAGTACTTAAAGAGGTCTGAATTAAAAGAGAGTGTCCTGTCTCTTGACATTGTCTAGATTTTTTAGAATGAAAGAGTGTCATCACATTTGAGATGACTACCATAGGAAACTTTGCTTTTTTCTAGTTTTGGCTAAGGTGTCTTGAGTTGGGAGGAAAAACTTTTTTTTTTACCAATTTAGGTCCCAGAGGTGGGAGGTACAGGGAAAGGATTGAAGGCTATGAATTAACTGACAATATACAGATTAACAGGAGAAAAGATAAGGATTATTCACATATGTGCAGGAACACTCAGTAATAAGCATCTCAGCTGAGTAGCCAGAGGTAGAGGTTTATATACCAGCTTAACAAAAACGAGGGTAGCAGGTAGTTAGGTCTTCAGTGGGAAAGCATGGAAAGTTCTTTTGGGCTTTTTGACGCTAATTGACAGCTGAATTTGCATTTCTTGATGCTAAGGATCCATTTTTTCTCAAATAGGAATCTCCCTCTGAAGGGGGATCCATGGCAGCTATATATTTGGGAGCCTCTGCTTAAGTTTAGGTGGTATTTCTTTCTGTGGCTGCTGGTTAGGTATTTTCAGTTTAAAGTCATCTCTGTTACCACTTTAGTGGGACATCCTTTCACTTGCTTCCTAGCTTTTAAAAGAATAAAGCTTTTAAGAACCAAAGGATACTTTATATCAAAATTATAATCTCAGCTAAGCCCTTTATGTAACTGGTATGTATTAAATAGGTTTTTTCGGTGAGGAATATGACAACAGTGATTGTTTCTCAGTGACCCTTCTAAACATTTCATGTACAGATTAAAGGTTTTCATGTTTAATCCTAACCAGCGCAGGGGCGGGGAACAAAAAAAAACAAATAAATACACACATTGAAATCGACTCGAGCGAGGAATAGAAAATTAAAATATAATGAAAGGCCATTACTCTTACAAATCGGCTAAAGGTTCTTTAAGAAGATTTAACATCGACCTGACATATCAATGCTTTCAAGCGATTGCACACAATAACAAAAAAAAACACAACCCAAAAAACAAACAACAAACATAAAAAAAAAGCACCTCAAATACGTTTATAAGGGAAGAGCGGGATTGGTACAGCAATTTGGCAAACAACTCATATACGGCACCGTAGCGATTAGAAAGCTAAAACATCATATTTACCCATGGAACAATGCCACGCCATTCCAGACCTTAGGTACTTTGCCCCGAGCAAACATGAACCACATTTGGTCCCACACAGAACCTTACAGCTCAGTGGTCCAGAATCGGAGCGGTAAGACGAACAAGGGCGGATACTGAGCGTACATGAAGTTTTCAGTAGTCTGACTTGTATCAATATGAATTAATACCTGACATAGTCCAGCTTGTGATCTGACTTAGTTTTTGCAAAGGAGGTTGGTTCACTGCGAGCGACACAAAATGTAGAACTCTTTCGGCTCCCTCCACCCCGTTCCTTTCTTACAACTGCATGTATCCTAAAAAGTTTCACACGTAAAAAAAAAAAAAAACTTGTCCGCAAATCTGTTGTACCATCCTATACCTCTATCATAGTAGTCTCCAAACGGAAGGCAACTCAAAATCATCCATGAAGCGCGGTGAGTGCATTAACACAGTTTATGGATCAGGCTTCGCAACCGCCCATTTACGTCGGGAGAAGGGAAGCAAAAACGTAATACTACCAGAAAAGACATGGACGTGACTCTCCAAAATATTAGTGCTTCATGCCACGTATAATGAGAGACAATAAAACAGCAAAAGATTACACAGTACACTAATTCGCCCATTCACCATGACAAGTGTCACAGTGAACGAAAGTAGATCAGTGCACTGCCCTAGGCAGGGCGTGTGGGGAGGATCAAGTAACAAAGGGGAAGGAGGTAACTTTTAGTATCGAGCAGGCTATGCCGGTCCTTACTCCACGTAGATACAATGACTGCACATGAATTGACCAACATTCCACACTACATACACTATAACTGTGGAGAATTTTACGGATTTTAAATAATACTTCAATACAGGAAAAGACAAAAATGTGAAGGCTTAAGAATAAAATACCTGTTAGCCGTCCTCCGCAGCATTCCAGGCAGGAGAGCAATGACTTAAACCGTTTCTGCCATTAAAAGTACCATACGAAAAACAATCACCTATCCATCTCAATGCATATATCTTACAAAATAATCAAGAATCTATGCTTCGTCATCCCACCATCTCGCTGCAGCATGTAGTCATTCTTTACCCACTAGGATAAACATGA